TATGGATGGTTGACCTTCTCCTCCTCAGTGCCCTGGTAGAAGCACTAGGTCTGCTTTTATTCACCACATAGCCCCAGTGACTAGCACATGCCCAGCACGTAGTAGGCATTTAATATCTATGTGTTGAGTTAATGAATAAATAGATCAATTGAGGAGGCAAACATGAGGCAGAGAGTCGCCAGCCTTCACCACATGGCTCTTCAAGGTGGCAGGTATTTTCAGTGATGGAGAATGTAAACTCATAGCATGAACAGCTAGGACATGAGCTGGAGCTGGCTCTTCATCATCCACTGTTTTGGAAGCCCAGGGAGGGAGGCGGAGGTTTGCAGATGGCTCAGTGACATGAATAATAGGGAGGTTTTATGATCTAAAGCTAATTTAGACTCTGTCTTCAGTCCTTCCAATTTAATGTTTATAAGAACTACAGCAAGTGGAAATATTGACTGATTTGGGTCATTTTACATCTATTTCCTCTTCTGGCCCAGGTGCCATGAGCAATGAAAGGATAAGAAATTAGGTAGTAAAAGAAAGAACCATCAGCAGCAGCCACTGTGCTCCACACGTACACTCACATTCTGTATTTACTTACACAACTGCCTCCATGTGCACACAGATCGTCTGGCTTTGGTGTGTGTGTGTGTGTGTGTGTGTGTGTGTGACAGGAGCATGATTCCTCTGTGGCAGTCTGTGCAGATATCACCAGCAGCAGGTCCATTTAGAACAGAGCATCTGAACACTTGATGGGATCAATGTTTCAGTTCTGAGATAGATTCCTCTTGTGAACCTACCAGCAAAGAGAGGGACCAAGGGAGACAGACAGACAGACACACACAGTTTCCTTTGAAATCAAGCTCCACATGGTAAAAGCAGTGCAGTGCCTGACATCCCGGAGGGCTCTGTGGTCTCTGAGTTGAGGCCGAGTTGGAAAGCTCACAGACAATCGCATTCACATAGTAAGGTGACTTCCTCTGTGCCCATGTCTTTAACTACTATGGGTGAGGTGGGCTATTTGATCTCTTGAGAACCAGCCTGGATGTGAATCCGAGAGTCATGGGTTTTCACAATTTGTCCCCTCCTACTGGAAAGAGGGGAAGACATGCTTGGAGATGCAACACACCCTTAAAGGAACCGCTGCCCACATCCCCCACTTACTTCATCCTGACTGTAGACACAAACAAACAAAGACCTTCACAACACTTCAGATCGTTCTCACCTTGAATTCAGTCTGCACCGGGGGAGTGAGTAGGGTGGCCTTGCCCTGGCTGTCCTGAACACATCACCACTGTTTTTGGAAGGTCCTGTTTGCTCTCTTTTCTGGAGGCAGCCGGAAGCACAAATAGTCCTCCAGACGCGATACAGAGGGATGAGTTGCTGGAATTTGTCACGCAAAGTGCCCAAAGTGTGAAAGTCATCTGCCTACCATCAGAATCTTACAGTTTGGGATTTTTCAGAGTGTGACAAAGTGATGGGGGAAGGGAGGAAAGGAGTTCTCGTGTAAACCAGCGTGGGGCCAGAGCCGTCTTGGTGGTGTCTAAACAGTGTGGTCTTGAGACAGCAGTGGAGGTCTTGCCTTCCAGTGGAAAGAAGAGGAATCCGAGCCTCTTGAGGCCCGGAGGCAGCGAGGTGGTTCCAGAGCAGAGACTCTGGGTGGGATCCCGGCTCCACATGCCTCTGCTGAGCCAAGCATGTCGGGCTTCAGACTTCTCATCTGAGAAGCAGGAACAGCACCACCTAGAAACCAGCTCTGTCTGCCAGCTTGATAAGGGGGTCTTGGGGAGGAGTCTTACTGTGAGGACATAGAACGTTCATCAGGGTTGTAGTTCAAAACTCGCCAGGAGGACCCCCTCTCCCCACTCCTCTCTTTATCCCATTCCTTTGGTATGACCCAGGTGAGCCCAGTCCCTGTTTTCCTCTGTGGGACTGCACTCTGGAGAGAGTCACTCCATGGGCTGGAATTACATCAAATCCAAGATGGTAGGTGCCCCCCTTGGTACTGTCCAGAAATACTTTTTCTCTGTAAATTCACTGTCAGTCTTCACAACAACAATTTGAAACCTGCACATCCTCAAATCTTCTCAAGACACTCTCATCTTATAAAAAGGACCTAGGACAGTGTTTTCTCAAAGGAATTTTTGTCCTCCAGGGCACATATGAAAGTGTCTGGAGATATTTTTGATCATTGCAACTGGAGAGGGGTGCTGCTACTGGAATCTAGCGTCTTGAGGCCAGGAATGCTGCTCAACGTCCTGCAATGCACAGGACAGCCTCCCAACAGTGACGAATGACCTGGTCCAAAATATGAGTAGTGTAGCCATTGAGAAACCCTGATTCTAGGTGTTATGGACTGAATTATGTCCCCCTAAGATACATATGTTGAAACCCTAACCTCCAGCGTGACTGTTTTTGGAGATAGGGCCTTTAAAGAAGTAATTAATTAAGGTTCAATGTGGTCATAAGGGTGAGACTCTAACACAGTAGCACTGGTGTTCTCATAAGAAGAGGAAATACACCAGGGGTGTTTGCGCTGAGACGAGGCCATCTGCATGCCGAGGAGAGGGGCCTCAGGAGAAACCAAATCTGCTGACACCTTGATCTGACACGTCCAGCCTCCAGAACTGTGAGAGAATAAGTTTCTGTTGTTTAATTCAACCAGTCTGTGGTGTATTGTCGTGGCAGCCCTAGCAAAGTAACACACCAGGCAGTGCCTTTGGGAGACATCATAGGACAGTACAAAGAACACACAGGACTGACCACGTAACCTTGGGCAAATTTCTTGACTCTTCTGACTCTTAATTCCTCATCTACAAACTGGGGCTAGTCATGCCCATCACTTTGGGTTTTCATGAAGGTTAAACAAGGTAACACACATAAAAGCCCTGACACAAAGCAGATGCCACCAACTTGCTACTAGACTGTAAGCTCTTTGTAGGTGGAGACTCTGCCTTTTACCTTTGTACCCAGGGCTCCTAGAAGCTCCTAGAAGCTCCTAGAACACCATAGGCACATTGTAAATGTGTTTTGAATTAATCCATAGCATTTTGGGTGCCGATTCAACAATTATTACTTGCTCAGCTTTTCCATACCAGATACTGTGAGTACAGCTGTGAACATTGCAGTCGTAGCCTCTGCCTTCAAGCTCATATTCTAGTAGAGGAAGAGAAATTATAATCAAGTAAAGAACTGAAGTTAAAAATATGATTTTAGATAATTATGAGGGAAACTGACTGAGTGTTGGGGTGGGGGCAGCTACTTTACCTAGTATTATCAGGAAACTATCTGAAGAAGTGATTTTTTAAAAAAAATTTCTGATTCTTTATTGTTTATTAAATTCCACTAGAGCTCTTGTGAAGTGATGTTCCAGAATGGTGAATATCTTTTCTCAGTGCAGTCTTCTTCTGCCTTATCCAGTAGTACTTTCCAGGAAAACTCACTGTATCTTAAAACTGTGCTGTGCATGTAAGGCAGTTAGTCTTGGAAAGGTATAAGCAGGCGTTTAACTTACTTGCATGGCTGGTGGGTCAGTCCAAAGTTGTGAAGGATTGCAGACCATTCTTTGTTGTGCAGGGATCTCCTGGACATTGCAAGATATTTAATATCTTTGACCCCCACCCACTAAATTCCAGTAGACCCTTCCAATCATTGTGATGAGGAGCTCTCCTATCCCCAATTTCCAAAACACCCTCTAAGGGTTGTACAGCCCCTATTGAGAGCAATGATTTTGAGGTCTCCAGTGGCCTCCTAATCTTCAAATCCAGCTGACACTCTTGCTCTATAGAGCTGCTGACACTGCTAACCGGCCCCCTCTGACTTCTTTTCCTCCCCCAACTTCCAGGACACTGCATTTCTTGGGCTTTCCCCCTCTCCTTCACCCAATCCCTGTTCAGTGTCCTGATCTGGCTTCCCGTTCTCTACTTACCTGTCTGTGTAAATCTGATCTTGTTCCCTTCTTTTTTCCTTTCCATTCTCCTTTTTGATGAAAACTTCAGCACCACATCCAGACAACTAATTCCCAAAGTGCTCTTGCTGGTCCATTTAAACCCACCTTTCCAACTACTTACTCTGTGAGTGAGCCCCAAGTTAAGCTGGTCTTGCTCTCAACCTGCTTCACCTTTTTGTGTTAGTGATGTCATCTGTCACTCACTCAGCCTGAACATGGCAGCCATCTACTCTGCTCTTTTTCACCCACTCCCACATCTGGCTGGTCACTATGTTCTGTTGGTTCTAAAGTGATTAGAGCTGGATATTCAGGAGCAAATCATGCAAAGATTGGAGCAGTGCTGAGGGTCAATGCGCTGGAAGGGACCTCTGATCCCACCCTTCTGATCTTTTATTTTGTCCTTAAAAAATTCTTTGGGCTAGCTTAATTTTTTTAGACCCTGGCATACTGCCCTGGGCTAATTTGTTTGTCTGAATTAATTATCAGCAGGGGGTGACAGCCTCATTTTTACAGAAGCTGTCTCTTTTGGAAAGATGCATTTTTATTCAAAGAGTCCGATTTAAGTTCCTTGGCACCGAGTGTAAAGGGTGCCTTGACATTTCCATAAAGACATTTAAATGTTACTGTCTCTGAAGAAACCATTTTAGAATATGAAGACTTTATCTTTTTTCCCCCCTCAAGGAAGGAAAAACATCACCAGCTTAATTATCTCTGTAAAATAACTGCCTCATTTACTTTTCATGTTGCTAGTGGAAAAAGATAATGATACTGTTTTCAAAAAATGAAGACAATTATGGATGATTTTATGAAACTTGCTTTTGATTTTTGTTTGTGTAAATAACACCTCAATTCAGAGGTTAAAGATGCATTGATTATTTAAAGTTCTGCTGGGAGAGCAAATACAAGTGAAAGATGCTGCTGGTGACTGTCGCTCCCGCCGACCACAAGAAGGTTCTTGTGATTAAAAGAAGAAGCCAAAAGACACTTAACTCTTTTAATAAATTAATATATTTATTGTGGCAAAAAATCACGCAACATGAAATCTACCCTTTTAACAAATTTTTAAATGAATTTAAATTTTTAAGTAGATTTAATTAAAAATTTTTTAATATTCTGTCTGTTATTATATATACCACATTTTCTTTTTCCAGTCATTGGCTGATGGACATTTAGGTTGTTTCCACCTCTTTGCTATTGTGAATAGTGCTGTAATGAACTTGGGAGTGCTAATATTTCTTTGAAATCCTGCTTTCGGTTCTTTTGGATGAAAACCCAGAAGTGGGATTGCCGGATCATACGGTAGTTCTAGTTCTAATCCTTTGAGTACCCTTCAGACCATTTCCCATATGGCAGCTGCACCATTTTACCTTCACACCGAGAGCACACAAGGGTTTCAGTTTCTCCTCATCCTTACCAATGCTTGTTATTTTCTTTCTCTTTCTCTCTTTTTTTTTTTTTACAATGGCCATCGTAACAGGTAGGAGGTGACATCTCAGTGTGGTTTCAATTTGCATTCCCTGAGGATTAGCAATGTTGATCATCTTTTCATGTATCCATTGGCCATTTGTGTTATCTTAAACGAGGCACAAAACTCAATTCAAAATGGATTAAAGACTTAAATGGAAAACCTGAAACTATAAAACTCCTAGAAGAAAACATAGGGGGAAAGCTTCATAACAGTGGTCTGAGCAGTCATTTCCTGGCTATGACAGCAAAAGCACAGGCAGCAAAAGGAAAAGTAGACACGTGGCACTGCATCAAACTGAGAATCTTCTGCACAGCACAGAACCAACACAGAGAAAAGGCAACCTATGGAATAGGAGAAAAATTTGCAAACCATAAATCTGATAAACTCTTGTAAAAACAGAAGGTTCTGCTAATTCTAGATGAGTCAGCAAACTTGTTCTGTAAAGGGCCAGACAATAAATATTTAGGCTTTGCAGGCCATATGGTCTCTGTTGTGGCTACTCAGTCTGCTGTATAGAGTGAAAGCAGCCATAGACAATGTATAAATGGATGGGAGTGGCTGTGTCTCAATAAAACTTTATCTACAAAAACAGGCTGGGATGTATTTGGCCTGGGGGCCACAGTTTGCTGACTCCTGCTGTAGAACAGAGTTTCTCGACTTGACTGTGCTGACATTTTTTGCTGGATAGCCTTTTGTTGAATGGGTCCATCATGTGCATTGGCTCTACGCACCAGATGCCGGAAGCAACTCCATCTTTCCAGCGCTAGGGTGACAACCAAAAATGTCTCCAAACATTGCCAAATGTCCTCTAGGGGATGGAATTGCTGCTCGTTCAGAACCTCTTGTCTAAATGATTGAAATAATCTGATAAAGAGTAGTAGAATATATTTTTCTAAAATTACAAAAAGTAGGGTAAGATAGAAGAATTGAAAGCCACGGTGATATAGTTGTCTTAGGTCAAGGTCTCCTCAAAGGGGCCGTTATCACAACCTAAATTTGGAAAGCAGTTCAAAGACAACTGAAATGGCAACATACTTTGAAAGTGCTCTGTTAACAACGCAAATATGAGCTTAACCTACTTTTGTGACAGGCACAAGAAACAAAACAGTTCACCACATTAGCATGTTCTAATGGGACTTTCTGAGTTTGGGGGTTGGCTGTGAGTTGGAAAGGTTGGAAAAAAAGCCAGTAGTTCTAATTCCCACTTGGGCAAGGGTTTATTTTTTCTGCTTATCTCAATTCAGAACTAACAAAGACAGGGTGATTTTTGAAAACACTCACATGTTTCTCATTGTTTGGACAGGGCCTGACAAAAATGGCCTGGTTTCACTGCAAATTGGCAATAATACATGTTTTTGAAAGTTGAAAACAGCGTAACACTCATGAGTGAATCTCCAAAAATGTCTTCTTGTCCTTTAGAATAAACACCTGTTTTGCAAATAAGAGAGTAAAAGCCATCTTTATCAAGAAATTGTTAGTTTCTTCTTTTTATTCCTATTGTATTTTTAATAATTAAAAAATTTAAATACAATTTTAAATATTATAATTTATATAATCATTTGTAAACAAACAGCAACAAAAGAATAAACCCACATCTCATCAGGAATTTCAGTTAAGCCTTTTGAACTAATTTTCCTTTCTGATTTGAAAAGGAAAGAAAATATATTGATGCTTTTCTCTTTTAATAAAATTCTCTTTAGTTAAACATATTTTTCTCATTGCCTGGCTCTCATCCTTAAGAGGAACTGTTACTGTCATGCTGTGAGTCCTGCAGCTCTGTCCCCTAATGCCACAGCCGACACAAGCAGTGACTGGTCCGTCTTCCTAACACCAGTACCCTTGGACTCATAATGACATGACCATCTGG